TATTAGTTGTTTGCTAAAATCTTAAAAGGAAAGTGGAATGGACATTACCAAAAGAGAAGGGTATTTTGGTCAAAGAAAGACATTAAAAGCCAGAACAAGAGTAGCTTATAAAAAGCCAAAGAAATCACACAAACACACACTCTCATCAAATCTCCCATCTTCACCGCTTCAGACGAAAACTCTCCACATTCGCATCTCTTCCTCTTCTCTCAAAAATCATCAATTTCTCAAGCCCAAGGTCCGTAATTCTCTTCCTTTCTTCGATCCTTGGTCTGGGCTTTTCCGATTTCTCATATTGACCTCTCGATCCGATGATCATGTTCTGTCGTTTAGCGTTTTTGTTTGCCTGATCAGAAATCTCTGGTCGTAACGATTCATCGAAGTGATCTGTCTTTGGTCTCAAACTCTGATTCTGAATTCGAATACTGATTCATGTGTTGATGATCCAATATTCCACGACTGTTTCTGTTTGTGATAAGTGAATAGTTCAATTTTGTTTTTTTGTCGACCAATAGTTCTTCTCCGATCATATGACATTTTATTGTGTTTTGCTTTATTTAATGAAAACTTGGTTTCTTTCTTAAGATATTAGTAATTTGGAGATTTGCAGTTCTGATTTCTTTTTGGAGTAGTAGTTTCAGTTACATTCAAAGATCATGTTTTAATGTTGTGTTGAAAATTGATTTGAGCGTTGAGATTTAGTCTTTATTAGAAGAATCTCATGGTTTTAAGTTTGGTTTTAAGAATCTCATCATGGTTTTGAATCCATTCGATTTAATTTGATCGATGTGGTTTCTGATCAATGCCATTTAGGTTCGAGAAGAGATGCCGAAGGAAAGACCTACATTGCCAGTGTCAAGCAACAGGACTAGAGTATCACCATATCCGCTTCGCTCTTCCAGGACCAACAAGCCGATCATAGCACCCGAGTCGCCGATTCAGACAGAAAACCCGAAAGAATGGGAGGATGTTCGGTGTGTAATCTGCATGGAACCACCTCACAATGCTGTCCTCTTGCACTGCTCTTCCTCCTCCAATGGATGTCGTCCTTACATGTGCGACACGAGTGTTCGTCACTCCAACTGTTTCAAGCAGTACCGTAAAAACAACAAGAACCGCGTAACCAAGGCTTTAAACTGCCCTCTCTGCAGAGGTGAGGTTTTTGAGACAGTGAAGGTGAAGACTGCAAGAAGATTCATGAATGCTAAGAAGAGGTCTTGTTCTGTGGATAATTGCGAATTCTCGGGGACTTATTCTCAGCTTAAGATTCACATGAAAGCTGAGCATCACGGTTTTGTTCCACCAAAGGTTGATCCGTTGAGGCGACGGGTGTGGGAACAGATTCAGAGTGATGCAGAGTATGCTGAAGTCATGAGTGCAGCTGGGATTCCGCAGGAGACCGGGGTTGTGCCTCCGTACAATCATCCTCATCCGCCGGTGATTCAGGGCGTTGGTGAAATCATGCATAATATTTTAGGTGTGAATCAGGCAAGGAACGGATTTGATGCAGCCAACTATCCCGCAGGTCTCATGCCTGGACTTAGCATTCGAATAATGACTGTGTTTCATGGTTGGGTTCGGTCTTGAATTATTCTAAGTTATCAATAGTGTTTTTTTTTTTAGAACTCAAAATTATGAAATTGTTCAATGTTTTGATGTCACTCAATGCCCTTTTCTTTCAGTCAGTTTGGTTCGCTAATGCTATTAAAAACAAAAAATATTCTATCTTTAGGTTGTATAATATATCTAAGCTTAATTTCGTATCTTCCAAATCGTTCATCTTTAACCAAAAGCGTTTCTAGTAGAGTACTTTAAAACAAGGATCATAATAACTTGTGATTCTCAAAAAGAACTAGATAATTTGTGATTATATCGTAAATTACATTTATTATGTAAACCATTAACCACAATTATATTCAACTTTCACGTTCGACAAGTCAGTTTCTCATACTCGGAGTTTCCGAACCGCGACCAGCCTGACGTCATCGATCACCGGACCACATAACGAACCAGAGTGATCACTCTTCATATGATAAAACGTGCTCAAGAAAGTGACACGTGTCCTCACCGAGACCGCCTTGAACACAAGCCTCCCCTGTTTAAACCCGCCTTTACCCTTAGACGCGTAATCCACCATGATCTTGCTCCGGCCAGCGAACGCCTCCACTATCATCGGTCCCTCGCAAGCGTCTCCGGCGTCTCCCACGTTGAAAGTTAGGGCGTAGAATTGGTTCAGTGTCGTCCTCACGATCTGAGAAATTGCACTCTCTTTGCCTCCAACAAGCTCGATGGCTCGCTGTCCTTCGGGAACAGCGAAATGCGCCTTGTCGACGTACTTAACCGCTTTGAGGGACTCGATGATCCAACCAGGCAAAGGACTGTTATCGTCCTCGATGAACGGTGGAATCAACACTCCCCATTTTGCCTTGGGGAACACGTAAGGTCCTTCTTCAAAATTCCCGTTCTTGATCAGATTATCTGCAATACAAGAATCAAGAAACGACGAATAAATTAACCGAATTCGGTTTAGTTTACTTTCTAGTGTGACATATGATCGGTTCGGTTTACTTACATCCGGAGAATCTTGGAGGATACAGAGCTTTAATAGCGATGGCGTCGATCAACGGTCCACAAGCCGGGTCCTCTTCGTGACCCGGGTTATGGATCCGGATTTCGATTTCGGGACCACCGGCTTTAAAAGCCCATGAGTATGAGTCCCAACCATCACTACCGTACATGGTCTGTATAGGAATGACACCAGACTCATGCGTGACGGAAATGTTGAGCCGCTCGTCCTGAGCGCAGGTACGAGCGGCGCTGAACGTGATCGAGTATAGACGGCCGGACTGGACAGTGATTTTCTGAGAGATTGAGGCCTCGTTGCCTAATCGAATGGCCGAGGAGCCCTCCGGTACGACCAAAACCATGTCGTCTTGTTTCTGACCGGCTTTGATGTACTCCACGAAACCGGTTATATCCCAGTTAGGTACTGCGGTTCGTCCCTTAACAATAGATCCTTTCAATTGGGACGGTTTAGGACCCATCTCGAAATTTCCGTTTGGTAATAAACCTGAAACAACCAAACCAAGAAAAGTTTATCAGTGAGAGTTAATGAGTAAAAATTGTGTTAGATGATGAGCTTTAGAGTTACTTACCATTGCGGATCGGAGCCGATACGACGACGTTCGAAGAAACGCAGAGTAGAGCTAAGAGAAGTGCGGCTTCTTGGTACATTGTGACTCCTTTGGGTGAGGTGAGACTTGAGAGATGATGATTGAAGAAAGAACAAGATGGTGAGTATGAAAGGGTTGGAGAAAGACTTGCTTTTATGAGCTTGAGTTAAGAAGAAGAACATTGGTTTTGAAGAAAACCACGAGAATGCCACTGGAAGCATCCTTGGATTTGTTTGTCAGATGGTACGTAGACACTAGACAGCGAGCTTAGGGAACATTGACTTCATGATTAGGATTTCGATTTCTTCAATGCATTGTTTAAGATCTATTAAATTTAGAATTTTGTCGACAAACAAAGCATTTACATTTGATTGAAAATTTTAAATAATGCATGTTTGAGAT